TTAGCTATGTCCGTCCGTCTGTCCGTCCGTCCGTGTAAACCTTGTAATCAAACTACAGCAATTTTGAAGATAATTCAATGAAATTTTGCATGATCTTCTATTGTACTAGAGACGGATCCTATTGAAAATGGATAACATCGGTCCAATATTTGACCTAGCCCCCATACAACTGAACCCCCCAAATAGGGTTTTTAAGTTCATAATTATGTTCAATATACTCGTAACTCGACAAAAAGCTGCAAAACCAAGTTCTATACTAGCCTTCATGACCCTGATGTATTTTTTGATGATGCGGCCTCATTTGACCAAAGCCCCCTTCGAAATATGACTTAAATGTACACAATTTTATTCAACAAAAAATAGCTAAATTATATCTGAGGCAAGGTACAATTCAACTTAGATGCTTTATTATGAACAATAAATCACATTTTATTTTTATAACTGGTGTAGGGTATTATATGGTAGGCTTCGCCCAACTATAACTTTTTACTTGTTAGCACATTGTTGGTCGTAGACCGACCCAAAAAGTATACACATTCTGTGTCTGTAAGCTGAAAACACGAGTTAGAAGACTCATTCTATTTGGGCTGCAAATTTGGACCAAAATTGACACAAGAAAACCTAATTGGACCTCCTCTGAAAATCACATTGATGCTGATATTAATATCAATACATTACAATATTTTGATGGTGGGTATTTAATTTCGGCACAGTCGAATACAAACTTTATTTTTCAATACTAGAGGATTTTACATTTCTAACTTTATACAAATCTGAATGATACCGGTAAAGGTAAATTACCTTGTTCTGAATGCACCTAAAATTTTAAATTAATACTACGAATATAATAATATGTTCCAAAACTAATATGTATTTTGAATAAAATTCCAAATATTTTTCAAAGAATAGGTTCTAAATTGATGTTCGAATAATTGAATTGGTATCTGTTATAATTATTAGTTCACATGGAACAGTATGAGGTTTTAAAAAGTGCTTATGTCTAATTTCGGAACTTGATATTTATTTTTATTTAGGAAGTAAGTATGTATTTAAAAAGTTTCAGAAATTATGCAATTCTGAAAGTTTTTATTTAAAACTTGGAATTAATTGGATTGTTTTAATTTAAATATATCTTCTGTCTGTTAAATTTCCACAAAATTAAACAATTTTCTTTACAAATATGATGATTTAAAGATTTTCATATATAAAATAATTAAATTCATGTAATCCCGAAATCCCGTAAAATCCCGAAATACCGAAAAATCCCGGGATCCCGAAAAATCCCGGGATCCCGAAATATCCCGGGATCCCGGGATTGCAATTTTCAAAATCCCGAATCCCGGGATTTGTAAAAGCCAGTCCCGTTTGGCATCCCTAGTACCAAGTGATATTTTTTGGTACTTTTCATTCTCCAACTGGTCCTTTTTGAGTTTTCTATGATATTGAAATAGAAACATGAAATTAATAATAAAGGGACTTTTCGCTACTTTTTCGTTCTACACAGGTACTTTTTTGAGTTTTCTTTAAAATTAAACCTAGAAACATGAAATTAAGCATGTAGAGCTCGGAGTAAATGAGAATCTATAAAATGGGACTTTTTGGTACTTTTTCGTTCTTCAAAAGGTACTTTTTGAATTTTCTATAATATTAAACCTAGAAACATGAAATTAAACATGTAGAGACCGGAGTAAATTAGAATCTATAAAAGGGGACTTTTTGGTACTTTTTCGTCCTTCGACTGGTACTTTTTTTAGTTTTCTATAAAATTTAACATAGAAACATGAAATTAAGCATGTAGAGCCCGGAGTAAATGAGAATCTATAAAAGGGGACTATTTGGTACATTTTCGTCTTTCGACTGGTACTTTTTGAGTTTTCTATAAAATTTAACCTAGAAACATGAAATTAAGCATGTAGAGCCCTTAGTAAATGAGAATCTATAAAAGGGGACTTTTTGGTACTTTTTCGTCCTTCGACTGGTACTTTTTGAGTTTTCTATAAAATTTAACCTAGAAACATGAAATTAAGCATGTAGAGCCCTTAGTAAATGAGAATCTATAAAAGGGGACTTTTTGGTACTTTTTGGTCTTTCGACTGATACTTTTTGAGTTTTCTATAAAATTTAACCTAGAAACATGAAATTAAGCATGTAGAACCCGGAGTAAATGAGAATCTATAAAAGGGGACTTTTTGGAACTTTTTCGTCTTTCGACTGGTATTTTTTGAGTTTTCTATAAAATTTAACCTAGAAACATGAATTTAAGCATGTAGAGCCCAGAGTAAATGAGAATCTATAATAGGGGACTTTTTGGTACTTTTTCGTCCTTCGACTGGTACTTTTTGAGTTTTCTATAAAATTTAACCTAGAAACATGAAATTAAGCATGCGGAGGCCTTAGTTAATGAGAATCTATAAAAGGGGACTTTTTGGTACTTTTCCGTCCTTCGACTGGTACTTTTTGAGTTTTCTATAAAATTTAACCTAGAAACATGAATTTAAGCATGTAGAGCCCAGAGTAAATGAGAATCTATAATAGGGGACTTTTTGGTACTTTTTCGTCCTTCGACTGGTACTTTTTGAGTTTTCTATAAAATTTAACCTAGAAACATGAAATTAAGCATGCGGAGGCCTTAGTTAATGAGAATCTATAAAAGGGGACTTTTTGGTACTTTTTCGTCCTTCGACTGGTACTTTTTGAGTTTTCTATAAAATTTAACCTAGAAACATAAAATTAAGCATGTAGAGCCCTTAGTAAATGAGAATCTATAAAAGGGGACTTTTTGGTACTTTTTCGTCTTTCGACTGGTACTTTTTGAGTTTTCTGTAAAATTTAACCTAGAAACATGAAATTAAGCATGTAGAGCCCTTAGTAAATGAGAATCTATAAAAGGGGACTTTTTGGTACTTTTTCGTCCTTCGACTGGTACTTTTTGAGTTTTCTATAAAATTTAACCTAGAAACATGAAATTAAGCATGTAGAGCCCAGAGTAAATGAGAATCTATAATAGGGGACTTTTTGGTACTTTTTCGTCCTTCGACTGGTACTTTTTGAGTTTTCTATAAAATTAAACCTAGAAACATGAAATTAAGCATGTAGAGCCCTTAGTAAATGAGAATCTATAAAAGGGGACTTTTTGGTACTTTTTCGTCCTTCGACTGGTACGTTTTGAGTTTTCTATAAAATTTAACCTAGAAACATGAAATTAAGCATGTAGAGCCCTTCGTAAATGAGAATCTATAAAAGGGGACTTTTTGGTACTTTTTCGTCTTTCGACTGGTACTTTTTGAGTTTTCTATAAAATTTAACCTAGAAACATGAAATTAAGCATGTAGAGCCCGGAGTAAATGAGAATCTATAAAAGGGGACTTTTTGGTACTTTTTCGTCCTTCGACTGGTACTTTTTGAGTTTTCTATAAAATTTAACCTAGAAACATGAAATTAAGCATGTAGAGCCCTTAGTAAATGAGAATCTATAAAAGGGGACTTTTTGGTACTTTTTCGTCTTTCGACTGGTACTTTTTGAATTTTCTATAATATTGATCCTAGAAAGATTGAAATTAAGCATGTAGAGCCTGGAGTAAATGAGAATCTATAAAAGGGGACTTTTTGGTACTTTTTCGTTCTTCAAAAGGTACTTTATGAATTTTCTATAATATTGAAAATAGAAACATAAAAGTATGCATGTAGAGCCTGGATTAAGTGAGAAACTATAAAAAGGGGACTTTTTGGTACTTTTTTGTTCTTCAAAAGGTACTTTTGAATTTTCTATAATATTGAACCTAGAAACATGAAATTAAACATGTAGAGCCCGAATTAAGTGAGGACCTATAAAAGGGGACTTTTTGGTACTTTTTCGTTCTTCAAAAAGTACTTTTTGAATTTTCTATAATATTGATCCTAGAAGCATGAAATTAAGCATGTAGAGCCTGGAGTAAATGAGAATCTATAAAAGGGGACTTTTTGGTACTTTTTCGTTCTTCAAAAGGTACTTTTTGAATTTTCTATAATATTGATCCTAGAAGCATGAAATTAAGCATATAGAGCCTGGAGTAAATGAGAATCTATAAGAGGGGACTTTTTGGTACTTTTTCGTTCTTCAAAAGGTACTTTTTGAATTTTCTATAATATTGAACCTAGAAACATGAAATTAAGCAAGTACAGCCAAGATTAAGTGATAACCTATAAAAGGGGACTTTTCGGCACTTTTTCGTTCTTCAAAAGGTACTTTTTGAATGTTCTATAATATTGAACCTAGAAACATGAAATTAAGTACGTATAGCTCGGAGTAAGTGAGAACATATAAAAGAGGACTTTTTGGTAATTTTTCGTTCTTCAACTGGTACTTTTTTAATTTTCTATAATATTGAACTTAGGAACATGAAATTAAATAAAAGAGGTCTTTTGTTACTTTTTCGTACTTCATTGGTACTTTTTGAGTTTTCTAAAATATTGAATATATAAACATAAATTTAAATAGGGGACTTTTTGATATTGCAGATATATATACATTTACAATAATATTTATTTTATTCCATTACGATGAGGGTAGCGAAGCACACTGGGTATAGCTAGTAAATAATAATTTGTGAAATATTAGAGAATTTTTGTTAATTAATTTTAGAATTAGTTTAAAATATACTCAAAATATTATCAAATGCTTGATATTTGTATAATTACAAAGAAATAACCAAGAATTGTGAGAATTATTATTAAATATTTTTGGAAATATGTTTAAAAGTCAATTGTTTACTTTTGCATTAAAATATTTTTGTTTTGAAATGATAATTTCACAATTTTTTATTTGAGGTGTAAAAATGCGATTAATTCACAATTAAAATTTAAACCTGTAAATATACATATAATGACGATTTCTGAAAAATAAAAAAACTATAACAGAAAACTATATTCAGACGTATAAAAATACAACATTTTTTAAAAAAATGTAACTTAAGAAATTTGGCTTGTTTTAACTAATTCTATTCTTTACTAATATGTTACAGGGTCTTGAACATTTAATGTACAGCTTGGGACTGGGGCAAATTGAATTTGAAGCTTCACACACTATAGACGAGCATCATCCACACGGTCTATCGAATAATCTTAAAGATCATGAGGAAATGAAATCATACATGGATATACAAACCATAAAACTATTGCCAGATGATGATGATGTTCAAATCGCTCAGAAAAAATCTCAGGAAAAAACTAGTGGCCATGAAAATGATAGTAAAAATGATAAAGATATTATTTTAGAGTTTAAAGAAATGCACGATCCCAAACATAGACATCCTCGAGAAAATGGTAAGTAGTATTTTTAATAAAATTTAAATACAGTTTAATGACTTTTTGTGTTTACTAACTAACTATGAAAAATATTATAAAAACTCAATGTCGAGATATGAATTAAAACAAAATTTATATCCACACACTTTTTATCATCACAAAGATACATACATATGTACATGTAGAAAGGGGACTTAAATTTGTACTTGATATTACCTTGACTTTACCTCTTGGAACTTTTATCTTAAATTATAGCGATAATTAAGAATATTCCATAAAATACTACATATGTATGTACATACATAGAATACTACAGCAGCAATAAAATATTACCATTTTAAATTGGCAAAAAACATAAACAGATACTTCAGAAATAAGTAGCACGAGTATGAGTTTGAATATTTATTTAAATTTCAAATGATTTCATCATAAGCATTATTATTATTGAGTTGTTATTATTACAACGGTATTTATTTATATAAATTTTTTCAATACATATTTACACATTTAAATCGTTAATTTAATAATATGTTTACTAATCGCTGTCAATATTATTCTATATGGTTTTGTGTGACATTTTCTTGAATTAACATGCAAATCAACATATTTACTGGATACAAATTAGCAACTTTGTATTTACAAATGTGTATTAACTATTTATTATTGATTTTCTACACACGCTTTATGAACATTTGATTAAAATAACAAAAACATTTATAATTTATATGAAAGATTTACAATTAAGGAAAGGGCTGCGAGAAAACTTGCCAGAAACAAATACCTTTTAATACGCACAATTTTTGTATACACCACTAATAAAGTTGGGTGGTATGTTGATTTGGTCACTCCCACAAAGTGCTAACATCAGTCTACATTTGACCCTAGCCTCAATATAAGGTCCCCTTTAGTAAATAGCTATAAGATTTATAACTAGCTTAAACAAGTTTTTTATGGACCAAAATATTCTCTACTAAATTTTATAAGAATTGGTCCTTATTTGAAATTCCTTTTTTGTCACAAATCGTTTAAGAATTAAGGTATTAAGATTCGAAATTATTTACTCTCTCTTGCGGAAACGGAAATCTGTCTTTTCTCAAGAAAGACAAAAATTTCGACGTATACTGAACCTTGCTTCCTGGGCAAGAAGATCCCAGTGACTGACAAAGTTAAATACTTAGGTGTAATCTCGACCGGAAATTAAAATGGAGACACCACATAGAGGATAAGATCAACAAGGCACATCGGTGCTGGGCGATATGTAGGAGAACTATAGGCATGAAATTGGGTCTTAGTCCTACTATGACTGCTTTAGACAAAAAGTGCAATATCAAACTACTACAGGGAGTTCAGCGTACATGCTGCTTGGGTATAAGTGGTGCCATGTGTACTACTTCAACCAAGGCTCTGGAAACGTTGCTAGATATTCCACCCATTGAAACATATTTAAGATATGAGGCGGTGCTGGCCAAAAGCGGTTATAGGAAGGTTATACACAATCATCGGACGTGCCTGATCGTATACCAGACACAGAATATGTCGGAAACTTTGAAACGCTGATCCCAGATAGAATGTCTTGGTCAAGCGGAACGTTAGAGCAAATACCAGTAGGAATCCGTTGTTACACGGATGGCTCTAAATTGGGGGACAAAGTGGGCTGGGGTTCTATGTTGAAGACCCAGAAACAGAAGTATACCACCGTTTACCAAATCATAACACAAGCTTCCAGGCAGAAGTACGAGCAATAACGGAATGCGTAAATTGGATTAGAATAAATATGGCGCCCACAGCGCTCAATAAATTTGCCGATAGTCAGAAGGCAATTAGGCGATAGAACTAAATCTAAGACCGTATTGGATTGTAAGAAAGCTTTAACTGAATACTCTCCCAGAGGTAAGGTTCACATCATATGGGTACCAACCCACTCGGGAGTAGTCGGTAACAAAAGGGCGAATCTAATAGCTTTAAAGGGTAGGGAGCTCGAGGCAGTTAACCTGACAAACGCGAAACCATTCGACGCAACAAAAGCTGAACTAAAAATATGGGCGAGAGAATCCCATAAGGCCTCTTGGCCTAGGTGTATTACTTCGGATTTGATGTAGTATACATCCTCCTATCAACCTACCTACCTATCTACTCTCTCGAATTCTGAAGAGTTCGGTCCATAACACAGGTCAAATTTTTAACCCAGAGATCAAAGTATTATTTTCTAACTTAACTTGTGGCCTAATAATTTCTCTATCAAAACAGATTTTCAAGTTGTTGTTTCCTAAATAGCTCAAAGACACCTTTATTTATATAATTATGTCATCTGTCATTTACTCAAAGCCAGGGTAGGCGAAATTGGTACAATTCTGTGGCAAAAGTGTATAAGTTTTAGGGTGATCGACTCGATTTTTCAACCGGTTTTAAAGCCGGTTTTTTCTGCTTTACCAGTGCCGGTTTTTTCTAAATGTCGATTATTCGAATATCGAATAATTCAAACTGAATTACGTACAACATGTGTAATTCGCAGCTGAATCGCAGGCGAATCATGTCATTCAGTACGTAATTGGGGGTTGAATGATGAATGAGAGCGTGAATTACGAATAATTGCACCGTGTGAACGATTTTCTTAACGTTCGGGCTTTATTTGACCTTAGGCCCTATGTAAAGTTCCCTTCCGAAAATTACTTGAAGGCCAATAATTCACTTATAAACACTAGTATCACCGACATTTATAAGGTTAGGCCCATATTTACACTTGCCCCCTATGGTCTAGTCTACTAAATAGTCTAGGGACTAGTACATGTATGAATTAGTCTTTGGCTTGTATATGGAGTCAAGTCTTTAGAGTGGTCTATTATTTAGTCTATAGACTATTCTATTGTACAGTTTATAGAAAGTAGTCTATAAATGAATTAGTCTTTGGAATAGCATACGATCTATTCTATAGCTGATAGGTTTACTGACTAATGCCACTGACAAGGGTTTCGTTTTCATTGTTCTTCAGTTAATTTACACATATATGTTGATATTAAATTAGTATTACATTTTTTTACTTTTAATCAGAACTTTGTGTTAATATTTTTTAACTTAGTAACTACTCAAACTATTATCTAATTGTATTTGTTAATTACATACGTACATATGTAGTTACCAGAAAGCGACACATTTTCACAATATTTTTCAAAAGTTTCTATTTATCTTAATAATTTGCATTGATTTCCAAAATCAATATTTAGCTTAATAATAACTTTAATATACTAGATACATAACTATAGAATTGCGATGCATCAACTGTAACAATTATTTCAATAAATTTACATAATTTACAAAATAAATTTAATTAAATTGTTACATTACTAAATTGCATTTTTAATATTTATTTTACCGGTGCCAAACATTTTAATTAACAAGTTGTAAAGCATCAAAACAATAATAAAGATCATTTAAAAACACGGGATTTTTTCTTTTAACAATTAGTTTTTTGTAAATTATTTATTGACTTAAATAAATAAATATTTTTTTAAAATTCCAATAGTTGCTATAGTAAGTACTAGTTGTTGCAGTAAGCAAATAATATGACACAGAGTAAAATCCAAAAATTATATTTATTTGTAATTCAAGTACAAGTTCAATTATAATTTATTTATTTTCAAGTGCACTATTATAATTATAAGTAGAATCAAACAATGAAATTCTAATTAAAATTGTTGTACAATGTTTACAAATTATGTTGAAACCTATTGTCAAGCATAAATTACATATTTATGAATGAATCTAATATGTAAATGATTAGAAAATAAACTGAAAATTACATTAATGAATAATAAATTATTCTACACGTTTAAAATTAATACTGTATGTATATAACGGATATTAAGTTGGAATGCATTACCCACTGTTTTCTCAACTTTTATCTTTTCATATCTACCATCAAAAAAGATTTTGTAGAATTCGTTTTATACTTGACCTAAGCCCCACTAAATGGCCCTATTCTAAAAATCTCTCTTATGCTCAGATTAATATCAATATATGACGTTTTGAGGGCAAATATATGTAATATTCAAAATAGTGGAATATGATACTCTTAGGGCGGTTTTTTGAGTTGACAATTAAATGCCAATTAATAATCAGATTAGTTAATCTGATAATAAATTTAATCTAATGTTAATCTCCTTTGATGTTTTTGAGTACAAATTGCCACACAAAAACACCAACAACGTCACTGTTTGCTATCAAAACAATGCATGTCTTATAAAAAAAGAAGAAGACAACTGTAATATGAAAATTAAAGAAAACTTAAATTAAAAACAAAAGAAATAAACATTGTAATGCTTATACTAAGGCCACCACCAAAGCCGATAAAGTTTCGGAATAAGTCTAAAACTAATTGGACAATGTTCGGGACCTTACTAAAGAACCGTTTAGGTCAGGACACTTTTCAATGTCGAAATAAAGAGGATATAGATGCCAAAGTGGAAACGTTCACAAGTGCCCTGGTTGAATCGTTCGAGGACAGCTGCCCTCTGCGAGAGCGGAGATCTGCCCAGGAAAAACCCTGGGTAACTGGGGAGATCCGGAACCTTGGGAAGACTCTTCGCAAACTATTTAATCGGGCACGGCGTAAAAAGACCGCAGTATACTGGGATGAGTATCGTAATAAACTTGGTGAATATAAGAAAATCGTTCGAAAAGCCAAACGAGACTCCTGGAAACTTTTCTGTGAACAGGTAGATAGCGTAAATGACGTATCGAAGATAAAAAAATTCCTATCCAAAACTCATGTCCAACCGGAATCTATGATCGATGACACGGGCAGGAGGCTTGAGGATATGGAGGAGACAATGAAACTCCTAATGGATTCTCATTTCCCACCCGGTATATCGAATAACATAGATGAACCGATATTGGAGGAAGGGGAGGGTAACACGGAAATAGTAATTACAACTGACATGGTGAAAGGGGCAATCAAGAGCTTTGCTCCCTATAAAGCTGCAGGGCCGGATGGAATTTTCCCGGCACTTTTGCAGATGGAGGCGGGACT